TTGGCTCAGGTCATGATCTCACAGTCTGTGATTTCAAGCCCCACAGGGGGGCCCTGTGCTGACAGCTCAGAGCCTGGAGCCTGCTTCAGATTCTGTGCTCCCTCTCCCTCTGCCCCTCCCCCGCTCATGCTCTGTCTCTCTCTCTCTCTCAAAAATGAATGTTAAAAAAAAAAAAGGGGGGGTGCCAAAGATCATAAAATACAGCTCACCAAAGTAATATATAGATAGCAAGAAGCATATGAAAAGATGCTCTACAACATGTCATCAGGGAAAAACAAATTAAAACAACGAGATACCAATACACACCTATTAGAATAGCCAAAATCCAGAACACTGACACTACCAAATGCTTGTGAAGATGTGGAACAACAGTTTTAAGATTATAGTTTCTGATCTATTACTTATTTTACTATGGTAACTGTTTTTTCAAATTATAAATAACTCAACAATACATCAGGGTGTAGGCATTATAAACCAAATCTTGTACCTTTTGGATTCAGGAGGCTGTCTCTTTTTTATCATTTCACGGAGCCTTGCAGCTGACTGCAAAATACACAAAACACACATATAAAGATACTACCTTATAAATTGTTAAGTATGCTGCTTTATTGACACTAAAGTAAAATCTATACAGGAAATAAAGTTTCTCAAGATAGGATACCTGCTCTTGGTAAGACAGGAGACAAATATACTATTAATAATAAAGGCAAGTAAATAATACTGTCTAAAGTACTGACATTCTGATACCTTAAACCAAGTTGCTAATGAGTTTACATGATTAAACATTAAACATTTCACCAAATATACTACTGTAAATTAAAAAGTTTAACTTCTACTATAGGCAATCCTACTTTGATATTTTCCAGAAAAGTGATGTTATGCTTCTATAAATTAAAACATAATTTCTGTTAACTAAAGTCAAAATCAGAGATACTGTGTCTAAGTTTCTGATTAATTTTCAACTTTTAATGACTAAACAATTAAGTCCCTTATTTTAAGTCACCCTCCCTTCCCTCAATTTACAAACACATACCAAATGTTTGGGAATGTGCAGTCAGAGAATTCAAATAATAATTTAATAAAGCTAACAGCTTGCTATCTTTTGGAGGAAAATGTCATAGGCCCTCCTAAAGACCCTTCTAAAGAGCTACTCTCAGGGCACCTGGGTGGCTCAGTGGGTTAAGCATCCATTTTGGCTCAGATCATGATCTCCTGGTTCAGATCATGATCTCATGGTTTGTGGGTTTGAGCCCCACATTGGGCTCTGCACTGACAGCTCAGAGCCTATAGCCTGCTTCAGATTCTGTGTCTCCCTCTCTCTCTGCCCCTCCCCGCTCACACTGTCTCTGTGTCTCAATAAATAAATGTTAAAAAAAATTTTTTTTACTAAAAAATAATAATAATAAAGAGCTATTCTCTCATACACCAAAGTTTTACCCCCAGTGTGAAGACATAATGTAAATTATACCTTTAGTCATGATGATTATAAAACATTAGCATATTATCTTGACCATTTATCCTTAAAGCTCACAGTATACTGGGGCACCTGGGAGGCTCAGTTGGTCAAGCACCTGGCTCTTGATTTCAGCTCAGGTCATGATGGCACCATTCATGGGATCAAGCCCCGTGTTGGGCTCTGTGGGATTCTCTCTCTCACCTCTCTCTCTGCCCCTCGCCTACTTGCGCCTCTTTCTCAAAATAAATAAATAAATAAATAAATAAATAAATAA